ATTAATACCTCAGAATTCCTTAGAAACACCTCTCCCAATATATTTGCTATTATTATTATTATCTGGTGTCTTGAATCTGCCCATTTTTAGACCCTACAAATTAGATACTATAAGTGCTTTGTGCTGGCAATGTTTGTTTGAATTTCTATGCATGTGTAACTGCCAAGGTTTGATCAAAGAAGCAGAATCACTAGGAAAGAGATGAGATTTATTTTAAAGGTTTCATCTCCCTGCCCCATAGGGTTTTCTGGGCTGTAATCTTTATGGGGGAGTCTTAGTATGGTGCTGTGGGATAAAACACTGGACCACAAGGTTCGTTTGAATCACAAGATTGGCGGTTCAAACTCACCAGTCACTCCTTGGAAATGCTACCCAGGTCGCTATGAGTCGGAATTGACTCGAAGGCACTTAACAACAACAATTGTTATGGGAGTAGCTTTCTAGGTCTTTTCTCCCACAAAGTTACTGTTGGATTTGAACCTAGTAGTCAAAAATGTAACCATTGTGTCACCAAGACTCCTACATAATTATATTTATTGGACTTATTGGATTGTTGTGTGTGTGTTTGTGTACATTTGAATTATTGTGAGTTTCATTCTGAAGAAACTTCTAAGTTAAATTTGCTTAGCAATGAATTGTCTCTGTTATTGTGTATCTGGGTAGATCTTGTTACTTTGTCTTTATTTTTTTTTACAATAGTTTTCTATATATAAAAGGTTGTTGGTTGACAGGGTTTTTGTGTGGGGTTTTTGTTGTTGTTGTTGTTGTTGTTGTTCTATATTACTTTGACTTTGTCATTCCACTATCTTCTGGTCTCAATTGTTTCTGATAAGAAGTCACCTGTTAATCTTACTGTGACTTCCTTGAACACAGTGAGTCATTTTCCTCTTGTTGTTTTCAAGATTTCATTTTGTTTTTGTCTTTCAGCATTTTGGTCATGATGGGTCTGGGTGTGGATCTCTTTGCATTTATTCTACTTGTAGTGTATTGAACTTTTTGAATGTATTGTTGTTTGTTGTTAAGTGCCTTCGAGTCAGTTCTGACTCTTAGAGACCCTGTATAGTATTTTTCATAACATTTGGGGAAGTTTCAGCCATTCTTTCTTCATTTCCCTGTCGCTGTCTCTCCAGTCTTTGTGGTATTCCCATTATGTGTATGCTAGTGCATGTAATGATATTCACATTTGTCCAGGACTTTAATTTCCCCATCATTCTTTTTTCAGATTCTCTTTTTTTCTACCAACTCAAAATCTACTGTTGAGTCTAGTGACTTTTCCTTTTATTTGCTCCTGAACGGAAAAAGTCTTGGGTACATACACAGTTTTCCAGATCACCAGGATGACTGTGATTCTATTGATAGGCCTGGGAACTTCCTGGCAGTCCTCTCTGGGTCACAGTAGTTCATTTTTGGCCAGTATTTAGCTTAAGCCCCTTGATGCAGTAAGTTTTCTGCATTTTGGAGATGGAGCTATGTATGACTTAGGGAATGCTTTCAAGTCTGCCTAGGTGTGTTCTAACTGAGTGGGTACAGCCTGGCATGCATAGTGTTCCAGACCCGCAGGAATAAGTGTGATCCCAGGATGATTACTCTTAGCTGTCTCTTTCCCTTGTTCTCAATGTTAAATTTCTTGATGGTCTACCATTCCACTTCTTGCTACTAATAGCACAGAGCTACAAGCCCCTTCTTAAGTTCTAGCTACCAAGACCTCCTTTTATTCATCTATTTGGATAATACCCTTAGGCATGAACTTCCTCAGGTTCCATTCCAAAGAAATCAGGTCCTCTAGAGGCAAAACTGTCCTGTGATATGCCTGACCCTCTGAAAAAAAACAACAAACTCCCCATCACTGCACCAGAGCTAGGTTGCTCTATGAGTGGGTTCTTGGAGCTGGCAGCCCCGATTGTCTTGTTTTCCTCTTCCTAGTGTGGAACCTCTTTCTACAAGTAAGCTCAGAGAAAGACCTGTCATACCTGGGGTAGAGTATTATCAATCTGTCACACCCAGAGCAAAGCCTACTACTGAGAACTCAGTGGAGATGCTGGGTACAAGCTCTCAGACGTGAATGCCTAGAATAGCATTTCCACAACACAGGGCTGTGGATAATAAGAGATTCTGCCAACCAGCTTCTCCCAGGGTTAAACCATTAGCCCTAGGCTAGAGCTGAAGGAAGAAGACACCCATTTTCCTGGCCAGAACAACCGAGAGTAGAGCACTTAGAGGAGGAGGAGGTGGGAGCATGTTGTGGCTCAAATGACACACACTCTCATTGCTCTTACTGAGATGTAGTAGATCTTCTTAAACATATGTTCCCCATTGGCTGTTTACCAATAGGATAGGGTTCAAATACTAAATGGTTGTTTTTGTTTTATATTTTGTGCCAGTTAAATGGTTGTGTGTGTGTGTTTTTTAGGAAAGTATCCACTACCTTCCTCATACCATCATCCTGTAATTCCCATCAGGTTGTAGAAGAAGATTCCATCATTTTGCTTCATCTCCTCCTAGATGAAACCAGAGTCCTCCCCCACACCACTTATATGCAGGAGAGACAATCAACAGGAAGACTCGAGTCCCTGCCTCCCCTCCACAGAGCAGTAGAGATGGAGTGCAGAAGTTCCAGGCACTCAACACGCAGTGGAAGGTGGGGCATGGGTATGACACTGGAGGGCACCTGGGGGTGAATTAGTCCTGTGAGGGACTGGCTGATTCCAGGAAAAGTGGAACAATGAGAGAGAAAAGCAGCAAAAGGGAAGTAGGCAATAGGGATGGGAATGTCATCTGGGTTTCTCCACAAATGTGGGTGTTATTGTTAAATGCTGTCAAGTTGGTTTCAACTCATAGTGACCTGAGGCTACAAATCATTATGGGAATAGAAAGCCTCATCTTTCTCCCACAGAGTGGCTGATGGATTTGAACTTCCAACCTTGTGGTTAGCAGTCCAATGCCACCACACTCTCACAAATGTGGATGTTGTTGTTGTTGTTGAGTGCCATTGAGTCGCTTCTGACTCAGAATAACCCTGTATATGGTTTCCAGGGAGCAGCTGGTTGGTATGAACTGCTCAACTTTCAGTTAGCAGCCCAGTGCTTATCCTACAGAGCCACACCAGGACTCCACAAATGTGGATAAGGCAGGGGAGTGGGTGGCTGGATTGAGGTCCGAATCCTAGATCCTCCTTCTATTTATAAATGGGTCTCTGTTGATGCTGATTCAATGGGCATTCAATTTCTTTCCCCTCCTGCTTTATTCAAGTTTATAATTTGAAGCAAAATGGTTTGTTTAAATCAGAGAGAAAGTGTGGAAATGGAGAAAATGTGAGAAGAAAGTCAAACCCAGAGAGGCCATCAGACTCAGACTAGTATCTCTGACCCCTTCTCCCAGTCTCTCCAGGTCCAGATGTCCTCTGAGAATCAAAGGCTTCTTCCCAGGTGGCCCCGGGAATCTCTGCTCAGGGGACAGTATTGTAGACTCTGTAGTCATCTTTTTGGGTCACGTGCAGCTTCCAGGGAAAGAGGTGCTTCTGGGAGGGGAGGCCTTGGGCCTGCCTCACCATGAGATTTACATCGTCATCTGAGAGCAGTCGAATCAAATCCCCCTCTGCATCCCGGTAATTCAGGGCAATGTCCTCCCTCTGGAACTCCCGCCTGGGTGAGAAAGGTCATAGAGACAAGGTCAAGCAAAGATCAGGTGAAGAATCTAGGGGACCTGAGCCTAAATGTAGGGCAGAAAAAGCAGGCAGAGGGAGTTCTAGGGTCTGGATCTGAGAATCAGAGAAAGACAGAGCTTGACATAGGTCTTAGTGTCCAAGCCGTTCAATCTCCCTTGGTACAAAAAGCCAAACTGAGGCTGAAAGTGGAGAAGAAACTTTCACAATAAATTAGTAGCACAGCCTGAAATGTCTTATATATAAATGTGCTGAAGATTGCAGAACTGTCATGGGACAGGAGCAGTGGGTTTGGCTGGGTCCCTAGAGAGTAGAGCAGAATAAAGTCCCTGAGGAATCACTTGTCTGCAGATTTTGAGAACTATTTTAAGAACTGTAACAGCCTAGTGTCAATTTACAGGAAAATGGGCATTCTTATATTGACTAGAAAATCTAAAAATCAATCCAATCTTCTTATAAGTAAAAGTCAGCAAAATGGAACAGAAGCCTAACAAATGTGTAAATCCTTGATCCCCACATTCTACTTCTAGAGCATGATCTTGAGCAAACAATCAGACAAGTCACTAACTCTATGAACAAAGATGGTTATCACAGCATTGTTTATGAGAAGAAAGAAAGAGAAAGAGAGGGAGGGAGGGAGGAAGGGAGGAAGGAAGGAAGGAAACCAAATCACTTGCTATCAAGTTGCTACTGATTCACAACGACCCCATGCATGTCAAAATAGAACTGTGCTCCATGGAGTTTTCAATGGCTGATTTGTTGGAAGTAGATAGCCAGACCTTTCTTTTGAGACGCCCCTGGGTAGAACTGAACCCCCAGCCTTTTGATCAGCAGCAGAGCTTGTTAGCCATCATACCACACAGAGATTCCAGCAATGTTTAGGGTACAGGCAGCCCCTGGGTTACAAACATCTGACTTATGTCCAACCTGTAATATGAACCAACCTCCAAGACGACTGTTCTATTAAAAATTCAAGGTTCATACAACGATTCCTAATAACAGATGGGTACTGCTTTTTAAGGTGCGTCAAGACATCATTATTATTACTGTATTACGCTATAAAGATATTTTACTGTTTCTGAAAGTATTCCTTTAATGTCTTTTATGCATAGAAAAAGCTAATTATGATGGTACATAAGGTCACTATGAGTCAGTACCGACTTGATGGCACCTAACAACAACATGCATAAAAAGGTACACTATATACTATATCGTTGTCGTTATGTGCCGTGGAGTCGGTTCCGACTCATAGCGACCTTACACAGGGTTTCCGAGGCTGTAAATCTTTACAGGAGCAGAAAGCCTCATCTTTCTCCCGCGTAACAGCCGGTAGTTTCGAACTGCTGACCTTCTGGCTCGCAGCCCGATTCGTAACCACTATGCTACCAGAGCTGCTTTATATACTATACACTAAAACAAACATTTGACTACCTGTCGATACATACAAGTCATACCTAATTGTTCTGACTTATGCACAAATTCAGCTTAAAGTCAGATTTAGGAATGGAACTTGTTTAAAATCTGAGGACTGCTTGTAGTGATAAAAATAAAGAAGGAAGTCACCCTATGTGCCCAACAAAAGAAGGTCCCATTAACTCCAGGATAGCCACAGACAGACTAGTTCCCAGCAGCCAGGTAAAGTAATAGTTGTATGTTGCATTGAAGACATTTGAATGAACATCAAATAAAGGAAAGAGTGAAAACATGTGGTGATCTCACTTCTTTATACCTTTCTGATTTCTGGCCTTCTTTTTTTCTCTTTTTATAAAGAGCAGGTATTACTTCTGTAGTCAGAAATGGAACAGTGTTATTTCCAGTTTAAAAAATAACTGTTCAGTAATGAACCAGATTGTGGGAGGTAGTGGACTTCTTACTGGTGAAGGGTCCAAGTCTTAAGTTTTTAGCTGGAGAGACCATGGCTGTGGCTGCAATTCTACACTGATGAACTGTTTGTCTTCAGCAAAGTTCCTTTATCTCTGAGCCCCATGGCTTTTCCCTAAAGCGCTATGATGAAACATCCCCAGTAGGGCTGGAGTGTGAATAAAACAAGATTGTAAAATAGATGCAAAACACCAATGTTGATGTTGAGTTGATCAGTTGTTCCTGAGGCTGGGAGGAGGTGGAGATGGGCTGTGTCTTACTACTGTTTAACGTGGAATTTTCAGTTTGCCAATGGAAAATTTCAAGAGGGATTTTAAAAACAAACAAACCACCTTTTCTAAATGAAGTTCTTCTGTGATTACTGTATGTTGTTGTTGTTAAGTGCCGTCGAGTCGGTTCCGACCCATAGCGACCCTGTACAGGGTTTCCGAGGGTGTAAATCCTTACGGGAGTAGAAAGCCTCATCTTTCTCCCGCGGAGCGGCTGGTAGTTTCGAACCGCTGACCTTAAGGTTCGCAGCCCGATTCGTAACCACTACGCTACCAGAGCTCCTGTATATGTACCAAGAAAAATATAATTTTGGATTTTGGGGAATGGTTTCCTTAGTTTTATTTTTCAAAAGATTTTCGAATGGTTCATTAATTTTTCTAACTTTACCCAAGTCAGCAGATTATACATCAGTGTAACAGGGATACTTTAAAAATCATGTAACTGCAGAGAAAGTAAGACATGACATCATTTTTCAAGGTTTGGTCTCCACCCCCCCCTCTTTCCTTATGACTGTTGTTGTTGTTGTTATGTACTGTGGAGTAGGAGTCAGTTCCGACTCATAGTGACCCTGCACAGGGTTTCCGAGGCTGTAAATCTTTATGGGAGCAGAACGCCTCATCTTTCTCCCGCGGAACCACTGGTAGTTTTGAACTGCCGACCTTGAGGTTAGCAGCCCGATTTGTAACCACTATGCTACCAGAGCTCCTTATGATTAGGTTGTTAATATATTGGGGGGGGGGGGGGCGGCGACAAAAAATAAACTCCTGTGGAGTCCTGGTGTGGCGCTGTGGATTAATGCGCCAGACTGCAAAGCTGTTTGAACTGCAAGGTTGGCTGTTCAAGCTCACCAGCTGCTCCTTAAAAACCCTATACAGGGTTGCTATGGGTCGCAACCAACTCAACAGCACTTAACAGCAACAACAGGCCTTTGCATTCAACATTCTTTATCTGGATTTTAGATGCTCAGAATGAGTATCTTATACATATAAGAAAAAATCCTGACTTATGGCAACTCAGGGGTTCGAGCTAGACTACCACACATGGAAGAATGACCTGTTGAACGGCTCTTCTAAAGAACACCCTATGGAGCAGTTCTACTCTGTAACACATGGGGTCACCATGCAAAACACCTCACCCCTTAATAAGCTGCATTTCTCCCTCTGACCCCTCACCTCACCTCATGAGCTCCAGCAGGTCTTTGAACAGCGGAGTGTTGCTGAGATCTTCTTCTACGGCAATGTCCCTAAGGGGGCAACAGGTAAGAGTGAGGGGGTGTCAGGTTAGAAGTAGAGGGTCAGGCTGGCTAAGACCTCTGAGAATGGCATTAAGGTCTATCTGGAAGGCAGCAGGGACCACTGCAGTCTTTTTAGTGGGGGTGGAAGGAGCAAAATGAGATTGGGTTTGGGACAACATGGGTGAGGCGGGCAGATGGAAGAGTGTGGTGGAGTAGAGGTGGGCGATGGGTAGAGGTAGGGTGGCATGAAGGGTAGACCAGTCCCTCCCTCCCAGCAGTTCACAAACTTGATGGTACTAATGGTGTCTTCATAGTAGTAGCAACGCAGCCAGTTGGTGGAGTCGTCTTCCTCAGGGAAGTCCTTGATGATCTTCACAAAGGACAGAGGGAAGATGCCTGTGGCTCCCCGGACAGTGCCCTGAGGTTCAGGAGAGGGGAGCATCCCATTGGCATGTGTAGAAGCAGCAGGGCCCAGCCTTGGAGTCCCCGCCCTTTTCCAATGATGGGGAAGTCTGGGTCCCCTGATGCAGAGGGAGAGAAAAGGAGTGAGCAAGCTCACCAGGTTGTTCACTCCAGAACTGAAAAAATGGGTTATGAGATGGGTCAAGACCTGAATTCATCTGGAAAGCTGCTTCCATTTCATTCATTCATTCACTCACTCCTTCATTTATTCATTCAACAAAGATTTTGTGAGAACCTTGTGGCAGGCAGTGGAGGGAGAAAGATAATGTCGGTAAATTCATACCCAGTGAATCAGATGAGGTCATGTTAAAGATGAAAACTGAACAGGGGAGGAGAGTGAGCGGGGGAGGGCCTGCTGGTGACCCCCACTTATTCATTCATCTTCCGCCCTGTGTGTGTTCTGGGCTTAATCTTCACAACCACCCTCTGGGAGATGTAGTCTTTATTCCCCATTGTATAGATGTATAAACTGAGGTTCAAAATGTTCCCTCCCTGTACCCCTTCCTCTCCTCTTAACCACCATACATAGTACTTTCTAGAAAACAGGAAAACACACATTTCCTGTTTCTGGAGAATGACCCAGAGATACCCCTCTGGGGACTGTGGGGCTGCTGAGTTCCCAACACAGAGTTTCAGGGGGTAGTGGGGTGTGGGTGGTGGTGGTAAAATGAAACTTCCTCAGATTGACTAGACTTTCTGTCTTCTGGTCCCCTTACCCCAAGGACGTGGCCCTCCTCCCGAGGCCCCAGGAATGCTGGGGGCTGGCCTTGACTGAAAACATGTCCTAGATCCACTTTGGACACAGTCTCCAGGAGGACTGAGAAAAGGGGGCCTTGTGTTGGGTCTCCCACGTGATGACCTCTTGTCACTGAGTCAGTGTGACACCCTTCTGTGGACCATGGATGCTGGGATCAGAGCAATGACCCCTATAAACTGAGAGGAGCGTCTCCTTTACATCTCCCCCATGGCTGTGTGGGGCTAGACCCCAGATACCCAGAGGTCTCGAAGGTAGATTCCTGACCTCCACCTCTGTGGTTAACCTTTAGAGAAACCCCATGAAGGAAGGGTCAGTGTCACCTCCCTTTATAGAAAAGGAAACTCGACTTGAGTAAGTTTCCAAGGTCTCAAAAGTGGTTACAGGCAGAGCGGAGCTATGACCCCAGACAGGTAGACTCCAGAGTGCACGCTCTGAATCACGGGTTTCATTGTTGCCTGCAAGATGCGTAATGTTTTCCCCACGTTATTACTGCAAGATGCATAATGCCATTCCCGTGTACAACCGCAAGGTACAAAATGGTATTCCACATTATAACTACAAAGTACACATTGTTCTTGTCAAGTGCCACTGGGTCAGTTCTGACTCATAGTGACCCTGTATAGGGTTACAGAGGCTGTGCATCTTGTGGGAGCAGAAAGCCTCAACTTTATCCTGCAGAACAGCTCATGACCTCAAACCAGCAACCTTGAAGTTTGCAGTCCAGTGCTTATTGTATAAAGCCACTGTGCTCCCCCACATAACATTACCCTTACATTATAACTTCAAGGTACACAATGTTACTCCCACTTTGTAATAGGTGATTGTCAGCAGGAGGCAATATCTGGAGACAAAGTTGGTGCAAAGTGCTGTTGAGTCAGTTCTGACTCAGAGCAACCCTATATAGGGTTTCCCAGGAGCAGCTGGTGAGTTTGAGCTGCCAACCTCACGGTTCAAACTGACCTTGCGGTCCAGTACTTATCCTACATGTCAGGACTCTATGAAAACAAAATTTGTCTCCATAAACACCAACAGGGGAGTTGCTACTGGCATGTAGTGGATAGAGAACAAGGATACTACTAAACCTCCTACAATACACAGGACAACACCCACAACAAAGAATTATTCAGTCCCAAGTGTCAATAGTGCTGAGCTTGAGAAATGACATTCAGCAGGGTAACTGACTTGCCTGAAGGGTCCATTTGTTAGAGCTAGAATTGAAGGCTGGTGTGTCAGATCTGGAATCTTCTATTCTTGCCCCACACGTTCCTTCAGGTGCCCCCCTCACGCCCTCACCCCCATAGCTCCAGGACTATCTATTCCCTGAAGCCTCTTCCCAACTGTCTTTGAGCCCTGTTCCTACCCCAAACGACTTCCTCTCACCTCCAGCCAGTCCTTGTTGATCCGGCTGAGGAGGAAGATGACATCTTCAGCTTTGAAGCTCAGTTCCAGCTTGGTGTTCCCAGTGAAGTCAAACAGGGCCTATGAGGAGGAGTGGGGCTCAGCAAGGACGACTGACCTACTGAGGCCACCCTATTTGTTACTGGAGGAGCCAGGATTTGAACTCAGGTCTCCCTGAGTCCAGAAAGGAATGCTTTCCATGCTGCTGAGAGATCGCGGATGCAAGCTCTCTGAATTGAGCACCTTCCCTGTCTCTCCCTCCCCTCAACCTCCCTGGGGGCCTCTGTTGTTCCCACAACCCTCAGTTTTTCTCTCTCTGGGATCAGTCACACTCATAAGTTTGTGTCCATGGAGGTGGGCCTCTTGACTGGTTCATTTCAGTCCCCACCACAGGATCGGAGGCTGCTGTATGGGTGGATGGACATCTTCTCTCTGTCCACTCAGCTGGAGCAGGTGGGGGACCCTCTGTGTCAAGGCTGAGCTCCAGCCCCTTACCACCCCACCACACCACACACCCCATCCCCAGTGACCAGCTTCATCCGAGGCACACAGCTGGACCCACACATTGGGGCTAATGGTTAAGCAGTGGAGCAGACAGAGCCTGCAGCCAGGAGGTGGGAGGCTGGAGGCCTGGCCTGAGACAGGTACCTCTGCTCGAGGTGCTTCTATGCGGTCAAATTTGGGTCCTTGTGGAGAAATACTCTTTCTGTGAAGAGAGAAGAAGGGCTTGTCAGTCCGCTTGCTGTTCTCAGGGCCTGGGTCCCAGCTTCTGTGCCCAGAGGAGAGGCTCACAAGGGAAAGAGAGGCAGGTGAGACGTTGCTTTTGAGACAGTTCTGACTTATGGCAACCCTGTATAGGGTTTCCGAGGAGCAGCTAGTGAATTTGAACTGCTGGCCTTGCAGTTCAAACTGACCTTGTGGTCCAGTGCATTATCCCACAGCACCAAACCAGGCAGCCACAAGCATTCCTCAAAGTCCTTGTATTGTTATTGTTGTGATGTGCCATGGAATCGGTTCCGACTCATAGCGACCCTTTACAGGGTTTCCGAGGCTATAATCTTTACGGGAGCAGAAAGCCTCATCTTTCTCCGGTGGAACAGCTGGTAGTTTCGAACTGCTGACCTTGCGGTTCGCAGCCCGATTCGTAACCACTACGCTACCAGAACTCCTTAATGGTCCTGTGAAGTGCTGTCACTTCTGACTCATAGCGATCCTGCATAGGGTTTCCGAGGAATGGCTGGTGAGTTTGAGCCGCCAATGTTGCGGTTCAAACCGACCTTGTGATCCAGTGTGTATCCTACAGAGCCGCTCTAGTGATGCGAATTGCCACACAGAGTTTCAAATGGCCCCATGGAGGCGGAACTGTTATCCCCGCTCTATGAATCAGGAAAGGAGTCCTGAGGTGGCACTGCGGGTTAATGCGCTGGACTGCAAAGTCGGTTTGAACCGCAAGGTCGGTGGTTCAAATTCACCAGCTGCTCCTCGGAAACCCTATACAGGGTCCCTGTGTAAAGGAATCGACACGACGGCACTTAACACCACCAAAGATCAGGTAAGGGGTTGGGGAGGAGGAAACACATTAGCTTAGTGCCAATAACGTGCCAAACCGTTCACATTTGGTTTCCTATTCTCTACAACCAGCCTTTGAGGACAATGATATTAGTCTAGATTTGCAGCTGAGCAAGCTGAGGCTCGGGGTGGAGGTCAATGGGACTTCCTCAAAACCACACAGCTGCCCTGAGCTTCGAGTCACGTCAGCTTTGGTATCAAAGCCTTTAGGGCCTTATCCACCTCAGTCTGCCAGGCCCAAGGGACACCCATAAATGTTTGTTGAAGGAAGGAGGCTGGGAGAGAGGTCGGTCGGGGGCTCAGAAACACGCTTCCCTGCTTTTCCTGGAATTCTAGGCTGCAAAAAACCTACGCTTTTCAGGGCCCGGAAGCTCTGTTCTGTGTCAGCTTGCTTAGAGACAGGGAGGGGTACTTTGGAATAGGGCACACAGCGTCCCCTGGGGCCCAGGAGTGGTACAGCAGAAGCCTCAGGCGCTCTTAGAAAAAAAAACAAAAACACCAAGGCCTACATTCTGGGAGATGCTGAGAATGTTCCCGAATCAAGTGACTCCTCCCTCCTCAGCCTGCCCCACCCTCTCCAGGCTTCCCCAGGGGTGGCTATGGCATCAAAACCTCGCCGGTTAATGCCCCTGCACCTGTATTCTGATCATCACTGTCACACACATCAACATGTCCTTCTGCTGTCCCTCCAGGCTCTGCTCTTGATTTTCCAACCTCATTTAATTAGCTAAGCCATTCTATTTATTCAGGGAAAGAATGAACCTGTTCTCCCTTCCTCCAAGAGAAAGAGGTATCTTTCCAGCGGGGCCTCATTGCTCAGGCGAGGTGAGGTTGGATGGCACACTTACACTTTGCGGGTGCGTGGGCGGAGCCGGCGGAGAGCCTGGGGTACCTGCTCCGAGTCATAGGGCGACTGGTAGAAGAAGATCCGGACATCCTCGTCCATTAGCACCCAGACAGGCAGGCTGAGCAGGCTCTGTGGTTGAGTGAGGGGATAGAGCGGGGTGAGGTAGTCAACTGAAAGAAATGAGCAGCCTACCCCAGCACCCATTGGGCCCCTTCCCCCTACCAAGGCATTGTAGACCCAATAACCCAATCAAGGTATGTATTTTTTACATTTCAACACCTTGAGTGAAGGTAACATTGAAGGATTCTACAAGCAAAATATTGACCGATGCAGAAAGCATCAAAAGAAGATGGAAGGAATATACAGAGTCACTGTACCAAAAAGAAATGGTTGATGTTTAACCATTTCATGAGGCAGCATATGATGAAGAGCCAATGGTACTGAAGGAAGAAGTCTAAGGTGCACTGATGGCATTGGAAAAGAACAAGGCTCCAGGAATTGGTATAATACAAATGAAAATCTTTCCATAAACTTCAGAGGGTAAGACAGAGAGGTGGACTGAGTGCCAACTGGACAAGGAAGCTTTGCTCCTGGGTCCAGGAGAGGCCCAACGGGTCGGAGCCATAAAGGTCTCCAAAAATAACCATAATATATCTGATGGCAGATCATGTGATATGGTGAAGGCACATGTGTCTGACATGCATTACCTCACCCACCTCAGAGGAGTTTTGTGGTCTAGAGCCAGAATGGTGGCCAGACTTGTTCAAAGCCACACAGCTAGTAAGTAACAGAACTAGGGGGCACCCAGAGCTGTCTGCTGTTGTCTTAACTCAAGATGAGGCAACAGTGGAGAGAGGTCTCCCAAATGATGCAAATGAATAACAGGGATGGTGTTATGGCTTCAAAATTCTTCCTGGCTTCTGGGGCAAGATGGAGGAGTCGGCAGATGGGCTGAACAGACCCTTTGCAACACAGACACGGAAGACTGAGTAAAACATACACAGATGGTGATCCTGAGCTTCAGAGGTCAGGACAGAGAGGTGGACTGAGTGACACCTGGAAGAAGAAACTGAATAGGAGCCGCCAGACTGAGGACAAATGGGCAGGGTGTCAGCAAACGCAGAGCGGCTGTTGAAATAGTGACCTTCAAACACAGGACGCAGCTAGAGGTTGGTGGCAAGGAAGGTGTAGTTCTCCCTTGTTTTTGCCTTCCTGGTAGCCAGGGGCTGACACACCCCCTCACCAGGAAACACACACTCACAGGCCTTGTTAGGTATCTGTGTATTCTCAACCTACAAACTGTTTGCATCCCTGTGAGTCAGGGTGGCCAGGTCAAAAGCCTTTCACCCACCAGAGCTGTCTAAGAAAGGGTCAGTGTTCCTAATGAGGTAGCGAGCACCCCGTCACAAAAGGCATGCAAAGCCAGGCTTCCAGAAGTTGGAGAGGGAAGACCTTCTCACCACCCAGGGGCCTCCGCGGAGAAGTTTAGAGCCCCAGTTCATCTTTGGCTTTCATGGCATCTATCCGCAGGAGAAAGATCAGGCTTTCTACTCCCGTAAAGACTTACAGCCTCAGAAATCCTGTACAGGGTCGCAATAGGTCAGAACCGACTCGACAGCACTTAACAACAACAACAACAACATTTCCTTAAAATCTGCTTTCAGTTGCCTGCTGCTCCTATAATCCTTCCTCCAGTTCATTCAGCCTGGTCTTCCCCAGGTCCTGCATTCCCAGTTCCTGTGAATGGAGCTCTCTGGGTCCTCCCCATCCTGCTATCTCCGTTAATTCTCTGCAGGCTTGGGTGCCTCGGGTGCTACTTCACCCAAAACCCACCCCAACGATCCCCAGGAAGGGGTTTGTACATGTCAGATTCTGGAGACTCCACATCAACCTTATGGTGGGAGTTTTCAGAACACTTCCTATTCCTCTCATTGGACATTAAGGAATTTGAAGGCAGGGGACCATCAGAGCCCCAGTTTCCAGGGCCACTCCCCAGAGATGGTGCCTGCCACCCCACAACAGCCCTGGTGCCAAGACTGGCATGGCCCCTGTTACCTTCATGTAGGCATTAAGGGCAGGTATTCGCATCTCGGCAATCTCCTGCTTCACACCCACATAGACTTTGGCTGAAGAGAGACAAAAAAAAACAACAACAAAAAAAAAAACTGTCCTGGAGACCCGGCTCCAGCTCTGGGTGCCCACCCAGGTAGCAGCCCCAGAGCAGAGGGTGGCTTAGAGCAGGAGAGATGCCTCTTCATCTGCAACTCAGGGAAGGTGGGATGGGCATGTGTGAGAAGCAGCTCTGGATGGTGAAGGGATAGGAATCACATTCATTTGCTGAGAAGGAGATGACAGAGCGGAAGATATGGTTTGGAGCTTGAAGAGGGGAGGTGTGCAGACAGGTGGTACCCTGTGGCCTGGAAGCCCCCTGCCAAGATCAGCCCTCGCCTCACTAGAGTTTCCTCTTGCAGGGATCAAGAGGCTGGCAGGAGCTGAGAAGCCAGAGGTTGGGGACTGTCTGTGGTGCTCTCCAAGGCCTTTCTGGGAAGGAAGGACAAGGAGGCCAAAAAAGTTGGGGCATGATGACGCCCTGCAAGGTCTTGGAAAACAGAGCCATGGGGGATTGCTGGCAGCTGAGAATGAGAAGAGAGAGAAGGGGGTATGGAGGTGAGAGGCTAGAAGATGGGTCATGTTTCAAATGGGAGACACAGAACTCCCATCTCAAGGGAACGAAGCCACATGCTGACCTGCTTCAGGGGCCTCAGTGAGGGCTGGTGAAGCAGGGTGTCCATGAGGTGACCACTGGTGAGGAGGTTAAAGACTATGAGGTGCGGGTGGCAGGGTGCCCCACAGAACCAGGGGTGGGTCAGCCCATGACAGCCAGGAGGAGGGCCATGGACTAAGTACATGGTGTCCCCATGGGGTTAAAGGGAAGAGCGGCCCAGTGTCAGATGAGAAAGTGACAACTCTTTGCTGGGACAGCAGGAGCCAGCCCCACGGCAGGGCTCGGGGCTGTCCAACCTACCTGGGAGGATGGGGAGGTTGCAGGTGAAGGGGATGGTCTTGTTATCTGGCCCGAACCGCTCCTCCATCTTTGCCTGCAAGGCATAGAACTGGCGGTAGCGGCGGTAGATGAGGTACTTGGCTCCTCCTTTCGTCTTCACCTCAATCACAAAAACCTAAAAAGGACAGAGATCAGAGGACAGGGCCTCAGAGGAGGGCCAGAGGGTGTATGTTCAGAGGTATAGGGATGAAGCAAGCTTTCTCAACCTTGGCACTGTTGACATTTAGGGCTGGAAAATTCTTGGTTGTGTGGTCTGTCCTATTCACCGTGGGGTGTTTAACAAGTATCCCTGGCCGCTGCCCACTAGATGCCAGTAGCGAGATGAGACAATCAACAATCTTTCCAGTCAAATGTCTCCTGGGGACAGAATTGCCCAGGTTGAGAATTGCTGGGACAGATGTTAAGCAGTGAGAGTGCTGGATGTTCCGAGATTGGATGGAGAAGGTTCAGAGGTCAGAGGGTGAAGGTTCAAAGAACAGAGGGTGAAGTTTTAGGGGTCATGCTTACAAAGTGGCTGGTGAAACCTTTCTTTTCTTCGATGTCAGCGATGTTGGCTGAGATGGGGATGTCATCAGGAAGCTGCTCAAAGTCGCTGAGGGAGGCCAATGGAAAAGTAATCCTGGTTAGCACCTTGCTGTGTTCAGAGCCAGCTCGATGTGAGGCAGTACAAAGCCACCCAATAGTGGTATCAGCATTGTCTGGGAATTATCTTGTATCCCCAGGCTGCCATTGGCACTGGGGATACAAGTTAAACAGGACAGAGTCTGCGCTCCAAGAGTGAAAGGATTTGGAGATGGTGACCCCATGTTGATAACACATTATGATTTAACACACTGCTTTACAACTGCATGAATCTGCTCAGGCATAATATACCTATCTATCCAACCCTCCTCTAGTTCAGATCCTTTCCTAGGCACAGGGATAGACAAAATTAGCCTAGATCCTTAGAGGGGGAGATCAGGGAACACCACACACACACAAAAGGAGGAGACACAGGAGTCAGGTCTAGAGGTAGGAGCTCACCCAGAGGAAGTTGTGAGAAGTTGTGAGAGGTCCAGAGAATGACAAATGTCTGGAGAGTGACCCAGGTCAAGCACAACAAGAGCTTGGTGATCTGAGCCTGACCAGGACCCGAATGCCAAGTCCAAGTTCAAGTACAAGGAGCCTCTCAGAATGAAGTCAAATCCCATTATGATTCTGGTTTAGGAGGCCAACTCAGGCAGCCATGAGGGGAGGAACAGGATGGGAAGAGTCTAGAAGAAGAGAGCACATTGGCAGACAGCAGAGACAAGGGTGGGGATAGACACCCCATTAACATTCATATACCCTGCTTCCTAGCTGCTAACTGAGCTCCAAGTTTGCTCAGGGTGCCAATGTGCGTAACTCCAGGTGACAGATCATGATATGTCTGGACTATACATAAGAGCCCTGGTCCTGTTTCCCAGCCTCCCTTGCAGCTAAGGGGAACCACGTGATCAGTTCTGGCCAGTGAGGTCTTAAGAGTGCTGGGTTTTTCTAATTCAACAAGATTGACTAGTTCAGCATGAATTCTTCCCCTTCTTCCTTCCACCTTGAAAGCAAATGTGGTGGCTGGCTCTGCTGCAGCCATATTGCATATCTGATGCAAACACATGAAGAGTCCCAAAGGAATCTCTGGGTACTGGCCCTAAAGTCACTGAGCTTCAGAACCAGCCAGGACCTACCTCTGGACTTCTGGTTATGTAAAAAACTAAATCCTTGCTTGTTTAAATGAATAAACAGAGTGACATATCAGTTCCTCTGTTACCTGGGGTGGTGGTGGTGGTTATGTGCTGTGGAGTCGGTTCTGACACATAGTGATCCTGTACAAGGTTTCCGAGGCTGTAAATCTTTATGGGAGCAGAAAGCCTCATTTTTCTTCTGCAGAACAGCTGGTAGTTTCGAACTGCTGACTCTGAGGTTAGCAACCTGATTCATAACCACTACTCTACCTTCTGTTACCTGTACTCAATTGTATTTCCAATAGACAACCAACTCAGGTGAGTCCTTCCTGAGTTCTATAACCAGCAGGGTTAGGGAGCTGGTTAGATGTGGAGGTGAAAGAAAGAACTTTATCTAGTGATGCCCAAATCTCTGAGTAGGATAGGCATCTGGGGCTGGAGTTGGAGGCCTCAGTCTGGGGATATGCTTACTTGAGAACCTCTTGCACCCTCAGCTCCATGTCTTGCAGAAAGCTGGTGTCCAGCTCTGTAGTGTGTGTAGGGGGCAGAGGTGGAGGTCTTGGCTGCAGTGGGAGAGTTAAGAATCACTGCTTTTAAGTTGAAGGAACCCTGGTACGTAACAGAAAGGTCCCACCAGTCCCACTGCAGGAGAAAGACATGGAATTCTGCTCTCATAAAGAGATAGCCTTGGAAGCCCTATAAGTCAGTTCTACACTGTCTCATATTGTCCAAAGTAATAGGATTCTGACTGATGGCAATGGGTTATGGGGTGTCAGAGAAGGAAGTCGAGAGAGACGTGTGGGAGATGAGAAAACAGAGGGTCACAGGGACAGAGCAAGAGCTGCCAGGGTCACAGAGTCCAGCGTCTTGTGGAAAGATGAAGAAACCAGAGGCAGTAATGACTCTTCTGCTGGAGTAATTGAGGAACTGGGTGAAGCCAGGGCCGCCCCATTTGAGGCCTCCAGGGGCATCGGGGTCTCAGCAGAACCCATTTCAATGTTTCCAGGCACTTCCACCAATACTTATCTGTCACTTCGTCAAACTGTGGTGGCTTTTGTGTTGCTGTGATGCTGGAAGCTATTTCAAATACCAGCAGGGTCACCCAGGGAGGAGAGATTTCAACTGTGCTCCCACAGTAGGAGAAAGGAGTATTGGATCACTTCTGAATGTCTAATCACTGAAAACCTTATGAATAGCAGTGGAATACTGTCAGTACCAGATTATTGAATATTGAAACATGATGAAGAACACCAGAATATTGTCAGATATAGTGCTGGAAGATGAGCCCTTCAGGTTGGAAGGCACCCACAATACAACTGGGGAAGAGCTGCTTGTTCCAAGTAGAGTTGGCTGTAAAGATGTGAATGGAGTGACATTGTTGGTTCTTTCATTTGCTGATGGGTCAAAACTCAAAATTAAGAGAAATAGCTGTAAACATTGATTAATAATCAGAACATGCAATATACAAAGTATGAATCTAGAAAACTTGAGGGGTTGTCAGTAATGAAATGGAACACATAAAGATCAATCTCTTAGGCATTAGTGATCTGAAATGGACAAGTATTGGTCATTTTGAATCTGACAATCATATGTTTTACTGTGCCAGGAATGATAAATTCATTCATTGTCAAAAAGAACATTTCAAGATATCTTGAAATACAACATTGTCTATGATAGGAAAATATCCATACACCTACAAGGCAGACAAGTTAATACCACTATTATTCAATGTATGCACCAACCATGGAAACCAGTGATGATGAAATTGAAGAAGTATACCAACTTCTTCAGTCTGAAATTGGTCAAACATGTAGGTTGGAAACAAAGAGGAAGGATCAGTAGTTGGAAAATATGGCCCTGGAGATAGAAACAATAATGGAGACCACATGATAAAATTTTGCAAGATCAATGAATTATTTATCACAAATACCTTGTTAAAATGGCATAAAAGATAACTATACACAAGGACCTCACCAGAAGGAATGCACAGAAATTAAATGGGCTACATCTCTGGAAAGAGACGGTGGAAAAGCTCCACGTAATTAGCCAAAACAAGGCCAGGGGGAGACTGTGGAACAGTCCCTCAATTGCTCATATGCAAGTTCAGGCTGAAGCTGAAGAAAATTAAAACAAGTCCACAAGAGCCAATATATGGCCTTGAACATATGCCACCTGAATATCTCAAGAAGATATTTGAAACATTAGACACTGACCAAAGATCAGAAGAGTTGTGGGATGACATCAAGAACATCATACAAGAGAAAATTAAAAGTTCATTAAGAAGATAAGAAAAAAGGAAAAGACCAAAATGGATCTCAGAAGAGACTCTGAAACTTGCTCTCCAGCATAGAGATGGAAGAAATGAGGAGGTACAAGAGCTGAACAGAAAATTTCAAAGACAAAGTAAAATATAATGAAATGTGCAAAGACTTAGAGTTAGAAAAACAAAGGTAGGAACACTCTCAGCTAAAAGAACTGAAGAAAAAAATTCAAGCCATGAGCAATATTGAAGGATTTGGGGGTGGGGGCAAAATATTGAATGATGCAGAAAGCATAAAAAAAATTAAAGGAATACACAGAGTCATTGTAGTAAAAAGAAATGGTCATTGTTCAACCATTTCAAGAGGTAGCAGATGATCAAGAACAAATTTTACTGAAGGAAGATGTCCAAGCTGCACTGAAGGCATTGGCGAAAAACAAGGCTCCGGGAATCGATGGAAAACAAATAGAAATCTGTCAACAAACTGATGCAGCACTCATCTATCAAAAGAAATTTGGAAGACAGCTACCTGGCCAATTGATTAGAAAAGATCCATATTTATGCCCGTTCCAAAGAGAGGTGACCCAATGGAGTGTGGAAATCACTGAACAATATCATCAATATTTTGCTCAAGATAATTAAAAAATGGTTGCAATAGTATATTGACAGGGAACTTCCACAGGTACAAGATGATTCAGATGAGGAATTGGAATGAAGGATATCATTACTGATTTAAGATGGATCTTGGTTGAAAGCAGAGAATACCAAAAAGATGTTTAATTGTGCTTTATTGACTATCCAAAGAACTCTTAACGATGCGGATCATTACAAGCTATGGATAACATTGTGACAAATGAGTAATCCAGAACACTTGATTGTGCTCATGAGGAACCTGTACACACATTAAGAGGCAGTCAGTCATTCAAATAGAACAAGGGGACACTGGATAGATTAAAATCAGGAAAGGTGTACTCCAGGGTTGTATTCTTTCACTATACTTTTTCTATCTGTATGCTGAGCAAATAATCAGAGAAGCTGGATTGTATGAAGAAGAATGTGGTATCAGGATTGGAGGAATACTCATTAATAATCTGTGATATGCAGATGATACAACCTCACTTGCCAGAAGTGAAGAGGACTTAAAATACTTACTGACGAAGACCAAAGACAAACGCCTTCCGTAAGGATTGCATCTCAATGAAAAGAAACCAAAAAACTCATCATTGGATCAATAAATACCATCATGAAAAATGGAGAAAATATTAAAGCTGTCCAAGATTTCATTTTCCTTATATCTACAATCAACACTCATGGAAGCAGCAATCAAGAAATCAAATGACGTGTTGTTGTTGTTGCTGTTAGGAGCCATCGAGTCGGTACTGACTCAGAGCGACTCTATGCACAACAGAATGATACACTGCCGAGTCTGCCACCAACCTCACAATCATTGCTACTTGTAAACCCATTGATGCTGTCGCTGTACCAATCCATCTTGTTGGGGTCTTCCTCTTTTCCTCTGACCCTTCACTTTACCAAACATGGCATCCTTCTCCAGTGACTGGTCTCTGCTAACAATATGTCTGAAATATGAAAGACAAAGTCTGGCCATCCTGGCTTCCAAGGAGCACTCTAGCTGTACTTCTTCCAACACAGATCTATTTGTTCTTCTGGCAGTCTATGATACTTTCAGTAGTCTCCTCCAACCCCATAATTCAAGTGCATCAATTCTTCTATGGTCTTCCTTATTCACCATCCAACTTTTGCATGCATGTGAGGTTATTGAAAATACCATGGCTTAGGTCAGACGCAACTTAGTCTTCAAAGTGACATCTTTGCTTGTCAACACTTTAAAGAGGTCTTGTGCAACAGATGTGCCCAATGCAATATGCCATTTGATTTCTCAGCTGCTGCTTCCATGAGTGTTGATGGTTGATCCAAGCAAAATTAAGTCACTGGCAACTTCAATCCTTTCCCCATTTATATGGATGTTATTTATTGGTTCAGTGGTGAGGATTTTTGTTTTCTTTACATTGAGGTGCTACCTATACCGAAGGTTGTGGTCTTTGATCTTCATCAATAAGTATTTTAAGTCATCTTGGCTTTCAGCAAGCAAGATTATGTCATCTGCGTATCACAGGTTGTTAATGAGTCTTCTTCCAATCCTGATGCCACGTTCTTCTTCATGTAATCCAGCGTCTCTGATTATGTGTGCAGCATACAGATTGAATAAATACGGTGGAAGAATACAACCCTGGCAGACACCTTTACTGATTTTAAACCATTCAGTGTTCCCTTGTTCTGTTCTGTTCTGTTTGAACAACTGTCTCTTGGTCTACATATGACATATGACATAGCATTGGAGAAACCTGCAACAGAAGACCTCTATAAAGTGTTTAAGACCAAAGAAATCTGGGTTGGAAGGAGTACAGCCATAACATTCCTTAGAAGCCAGTATGATGAGACTTCTTCTCTCTCACTTTGGACATATTATCAGGGGGGACCAGTCCCTGGGAAAGCACATAGGCTTGGTAAAGTGGAGGGTCGGAGAAGAGGAAGACCCCCAACAAGGTGGATTAGCACAGTGCAGATGCAATGGGCTTACGGTTAACAACAATTGTGAGGATGACGTTGGACCAGGCAGTGTTTTGTTTCATTGTGCACAGAATTGCCATGAGTAGGAGCAGACTGGATGGCATCTAACAACCAAGACAACTGGCACTTCCAGTCCCAGGCCATGCTGCCCCACATGACCTGGGTCTGCCCAGGGTCACAGGCTGGATTAGGTATCAGGATCTGCAACTGAGTGGTGAAGGGGGCGGGCAAAAGGAGTGGGCAGAGGAAACCTCCCTGCCTCCATAGCCACTACCAGCCAACACCCTCGATCTCCACACAGGCCCTGGTGTGAAATCCTTGGACATAGCTCCCTCCCCCACTTTGTCTCTGAAGCAGGAAGGAACAGAGTATAGAAATACCCTGAACAGGAGGAGGTTGCTGGTTGGCTAACATTTCCTGCCTGCATATCCTCACCAGTCCTTCTTCTAAGGCAGGACCATCTGTTTACCAAAGAGGAAACTAAGACACAGAGAAGATATCTAAGTTGCCCAAACACATTGGGTGCACAGTGTTGCTGTCCACCCTGGTACGCTAGTTCTGATGCTCCCTGTATGAATTCGGATGAATATATGCTCTTCTCAGCCTCAATTTCCCCATCTGAAATAGTATCAAGAGTAGTAGCATTTCTGATGAAAGGAGATGGGGTTAGCATTCATGTGGTACAATAGTTAATATTTACTATCAGGACTGACTGTCAGGGTTTAAAATGTAATGGTAGACATTTTGTAGCAAAAGGAGAGGAGTGGTTGACTTTGCAGGCCAGGAGTGGAGGCCCCTGGGACTATCAAGGGAGAAGAGCGGAGTGTGGGACCCTACCCAGAGAAACATTGAAGCCAGAGATGGAGACAGAGATGATGACGTGGAGAGATGGAATGGCTGGGAACTCTAGACCCAGAGAGGGAGAGGGGCTGTGTGCTAATGACTGGGGGCCGGGTTTGTGGGGTGTACCCTTTACTTGATTGATGATGCATGAAGGGGATTGTAACCATGGCAATGTAACAATATAAGACAGGATGAATATAAAGCTAATGTTCTCCCCATAATTCACAGCAAAACAGTTTAAAAAAAGAATAGTAGCATTTATGTAACTGCTAACTACTGACCACTGTCACTGAGTCCATAATGACTCACAGCAACCCCGTGTAGGGGTTCTGAGGCTGTGAATCTTTATGGGACCAGGAAGTCTAGGACAATGTTGCACACAGTAGGTGTGCAACAAAAAGCCACCAGCTTTGTTCCTATCTTAGCTGCTTCCCTCTAGAGTGGGAGTCTGGGGTAGTTGGAAGTTTGTGTTCACCTAAAGGCACCTGGAAAGAAAGACCTGGTGATGTATAAGGATAAGTCAAAAGTATTGCTACAGGATAATAGACACATATTGAACAAAAATATCAAAATGGGAAACTCTTGTTTCTCAACATGTCCTCCATCTAAATCTGTACACTTCTGAAGATGGTCTTTCAATCTCTGTAACCCTTCCCTGGGGTTAAGGCGCTAGACTGCAAAGTCAGTTTGGACCACAAGGTCGGTGGCTCAAGCTCACCAGCCGCTCCTTGGAAACCCTCTACAGGGTCACTATGGGTCGGAACTGACTTGACGGCAGAATACCATGCTCCCTGCCAGTTTTGGCATCCTTGAAGGACTCAAATCACATTCCTACAGTGTTTTTTTAGTTTGGGGAACAAAAAGATGTCTGAAGGGGTAAGATCAGGGCTGTAGGGTGGAAGGGGTAAGGTTTCACAACAAAATTCTTGTAGGCCAGACCTTGCTGTCCTCAAGGAATAAGCAGGCGCACTGTCGTGATGGGAAGAATGTCCTTGGTGCAACTTTCCTGGCCTTTTTTTTTTTTTTTTTCCACCAATGCAGTTTCCCTTTTGTTAAAACTTCTTCCTAATAAGTCCCATGGGACCATCCTGGGTCCTTTGGGAAAATCTATCAATACTATTCTTTTGGAATTCCAAACAATAGTCACTATAACCTTCTGGTGTCACCTCTTTGTCTTGACTTTGGGCCAGCGGATGCTCTTGGAAGACATTGTTTTGATTGGACCTTTTGTTTGAAGGCACCCTGATAAGACTCAAGCAAATGTCTTACTAGGAGGACTTGCAACCATCCACTGATCACAGAGACATGTTTAAACATGTTTTGTTTGGAATAAACCTGTGCATGTATGAACTGGAACACTAGTAGCAATACTTTTTGACTTACTCTCATATTTCAGAGAAATTCAGCCATTGAAAACCCAGTGGAGCACAGTTCTACGCAGCCATACATAGGATCATCGTGAATTGGAATCAACTCATTAGCTTCTGTTTATTTTATTCTGGGTAAGGTGGGAGGTGGGGCAGCGTGAGAATGTCCTACCTGCCTCCTAGAGGCTGCTTCCTCAGGACAGAGGACATCCCAAAGCTGACTGACGGTCCCCCTGGAATAATCTCTCCCTTGAAGACTGACAGAGGCTCAGAGCCCTGCCAGGAGGGATGGTCAGGGTCTGTTACACACCACACTGTTTGTGAACCCAAACAGCGTGGACTTAGGGAGACTAGGGCCAGAGAGCAGCATGTTCTGCTTTCTGTAGAGCCTGGCACATAGTAGGTGCACAAAACATGTTATTGGAGCTGAACTCACTACCCTGGATGTTTCTAGACATCTCAAAACAGTCTGCCATGTGGAGTCTGGCCTCAAGAGGAATAAATCTCTAATCCATTTCCAGATAAGGCATTCAGGGGCAGCCAGGCCTAACCACCCTCTGGACCTTTCTCCAGGGTCCCGTGAAGGAGTGGAGGAGGGCAGTTTTTCCCCTCTGAGGGTCAAGAGTGGCCAAAAAGTGAAAGGATTGGGGCTGCTGAGAGGGAACATTCTTGGTCTCATCTCTGATCCCCGGTCCCTGGTCCCTGAGAAACAGGAAGTGCCACAAGCTCCACACTGCTCTAGGTCCTTGAAGGATTCACTTGCAGGTCTGGCCAAATCTCCCAGGAAATCTTGCTGGGAAGATAGGCAGGAATCTGGCTGATGACTTCACCCAACCAACCACATTTGTATTCAAGGGAGGTAAGCCATATCTCCAAGGTTCCTGAAACCAATTTTAGGAGTCTGCAGTTCTGCGTATTTGAGTGCTGACTCAACCCATACCCCACAGCCTGCTGGGAATAGTGAGGAGGCCCCCGAGGAACATGCTCAGCACTCACCTCTCAGCCCGAAGCTGCTGAGCTTGGGTCATGGTGGTCAGGGTCCTGGGGAGCAGGTGGTAGAGGGTCTCTTCCCCCAGACCTAGGATGTGTTCGCCTCTCACTCCCTCCAACCAACCAGTGGCTCAGTCTGCCCGTGGTGGTCTTGGGAGTCCCCAGGAGCTGCCTGTGGGGATGCCCCACCCTTGCATCTCTTGGTTTGAGAAGGGTTCCTCCTTCAGTAAGGCGGGCACTTCCTCTTACCCCACCCTCAGCTACACAGCAATTGGGGAAGTGCCCCTTTGGGAGTACCTTGGGTTGCAGGAAGTCCACTGGCTTTGGGGGCTCTAGGGTTTTCCTCGCGGGCCAGAAGCTAGGCCTCAGTGGAGTATCAGAAAGCCCCACTCCATTGGGACAGGGTCCCAGTGCTGACTCAGCCGCCAGGGAGCCCTGGGATATCAGGGAGTCATTTCCCTTCCTCACAAGTCCACCCTGCACCCCCTTAGGCTAAGCTTTTTAGGCCCTGAAGGCTGGCCTCCCTACCTGCCACTCCTCAAATGCCACCTCCTCCAGGAAGCCTCCCTGCTCTTCCAACATTAGTGCTCTGGACCATGAATGCTGACAGGCACTTGTCCTATGAGACTGATGCCCTGGTGTTTATCGCTGGGTCCCATGCCCAGCATAGGATCCTCTCCATGGAGTGGCCAATTGCTTCTGATCACATCCCTCCTTGCTTTAAGGACCCTCCATAGTTTCACCCTGCACTCAGGGGCAGTTCCAGCCCCTCACCCAGCCTCCCTCCCAAGCCTCTCTAGGTCCTCCCCTGTGCCCTCTTCTCCCCACACTTGCCTTCCTGCCGTTTCTAGAATGCCCTGGGCCTTCGTTCATACAGTTCTCTCTATTGGCATGTTCTTAGGGCTGGTCTTGAACTCCTTCCCCAACTCCCACCAGAAATCTAATCCCTCCCAGATTCCTACACTTTTACTTCAGAACATGTGTAAAGACTGCAGTTTCTTATTTATTGGTGCACTTATATTTTTAGTGACTGTTCCCCTTAATGTTGCAAGTGCTCAAGCGATAGCTGATGAATGAATGAAATGCTTCCAATTGATGATTCTGTGGCTCCTTCTAATGCGCATGGCTGCTTGATTCTGAGGGGTTCTCCCACCCCCCCACCTCACCCCTGTAACATCCACTGAGTGTCACACACACACACACATGCACACACACTCATTACACATACACTCCTGCACAATCACAGCCTCACACACACATATATCCACTCCTCATACACTCACACCACATAGTCACGCTTACTGACACATTCACTCACACCCACACATGCACACACGCACACACTCACCATATGCATGTATGCACACTAATCGTGCACTCACACATATATATTCTCTTATCACACTCAACATACACATTCACACTCATGCCCCCCACACATACATATTCACACTCATCACTCACAGACACACATACATGTTCACAGCCTCATACACACAGCATACATACATACAGATTTACACATCATATACTCACTTACACATCCACATCTACACATATATTCATACTCACCATACATGCACACATATTCACTCTTCATGCTCATGCACAGTCACCCACATTCATTCACATGTACATATTCACACTCATCACACTCATACACACTGTCATACTCACTCACTCTCATACACACACACCATACATACATGCATATCCACACTCATCATACACTCACATACAGTTACACTCATTCACACATGCACATTCACACATATATATTCACATTCACTGTCACACTCACTCACCCTCATATACACACACACCATACATACATGCATATGCACACTCATCACACTCACACACATTTGTACTCATTCACATGTATATATTCACATATACTGTCACGTTCACTCAACCTCATATACACACACACACACACCATATATACATGCATATGCACCCTCATAAACTCACACTCATTCACACATGCACATTCACACATATATATTCACACACACTCACTCACCCTCATACACACACATCATACATACATGCATATCCACACTCATCACACTCACATACAGTTACACTCATGCACACATGTACATTCACACATCTATAGTTACACTCACTGTCACGCTCACTCACCCTCATATACACACACACACACCATGTTGTTGTTGTTGTTGTCAGGTGCCATCGAGTCGGAACC